GTGAATGAAGAAATCTTCATCCACATCCTTCACTCAAGCTTAAGAAGAAGTTTGTACTCAATCATCTATAACAAAATGACCATACTAAATCATTTGTGGCAATCTATGCATCATTCAATAGGGCTAAAGGTCGTCTTTCTTTGGTGAGTTCTAAGGTAACTTAGGTAGTATAAAGATAAAGTTAAGACAAAAAGTATAAAGAGCCAAAATTCTTTTGTGGTGTATATTTTTCCCTTATGAGAAGTGTGCATTGACTTAGGCATGTGGTGTTGTAAGTTAAGACCCACTTGTAAAGTGTGAGATCTTTGTAGAGATTGAATAGTACTATTTGCGAGAGTTGACTCTATGAAGTTAGCTGTATTTTCATAAGAAAATAATAGAAATCTGGTAGAAGGATCTTTTAGTATTAGATGTAGCTCAAGGAAAGATGAATCGATATAAAAATATTGATGCAAGTGAGAGAGAGATACTAGAGTAATCAATCATGAAAAGAATAGTCTTAGGTCAGCATACATATAGTCTTAACGGACTATGTTAGAATGTGTGTTGACATAGAAAATCATAATAAAACTAGAAAATGTAGCAACTCAATTCACCCTACCACTCATTGTATTTCAGTTAGTCACATTGAACCCAACAATGTTAAGTTGAGGGGGGATAAATATAAATAGAAAAAAACTCTAAGGTAAACCTAGGTGAGTATCAATCATATATTCTTTTTCCTAAAGCTCTAGAACCATGCCATAAAATCATAGTATAAAATAAAGAATTATTTTAAATATTTAAATAGCTATACATTAATATTCCTCTACTTGATGCCATTAAATATGTTGTGACATATGTCAAAGTGTCTGAAGGAATTATGGATACAAAAGAGAGAAACCAAGAAAATTAAACTCTCTATAGAGGTCAATGTTGTTCTCTTGAATCAGAACCTTAGGAAATTGAAAGATCTTGGTACTCCATTGATTCTCGCGATATCTGTGAAGTCGCCTTCCATCATTCAAATTCATGATTTAGAAGCTAGAATAAAACTTATACCAACCTTAGTTTATGAGTGATTTGACCTAGAAGAGCTATAACGAACCCCAGTTGTCTTGTAGTTGATGGATAGAATAGTCAAGACTCCAAGAAGGTAGATTCAAGATGGGATTATAATAGTCAAGGATGATTTATACCTCATTGACTTCCTTATCCTTGATGTACACTGATAAGTCTTCATTATCATGAGTTAATAATTAGTAAATAATATAGTTTTAGCTTTAACTCATCATAAATAGACTTATATTTATGTTAAAGTGTGAAAAGTGGTTTTCAGTTGATTAACGTGAATTTTTGGGTAATTATGTGATTTTATACGAATTTATATAATTTTTACAATTTTACTTTTGAGATAAATAAAGAAAAATAAATAAAAATAAAAATAAAAATAAATGGGGGGAGACCTGCCAGACAACCGGGCCTACAAGCGGGTCGGAAGTGCAGTCGAGGAGTAGTCGTGAGCAGGGGCTTAAGTGGCTTGGACCGATAGGGGCACGTGTGCGCTATTCCCCTTTCACATCACCGGTGGCCAGCCGGCTGTGGGGCAAGGAGTTGTTGTACACGCGCGAGAAAGGGACTTGCTTAAAAATATAATATTACGATATATTCACCTGAAAATTCAGCGCACAAGCGATATGAGACTAAACCCGCGTCACCTTCCCCAGAAGGGGCAGGGCAACCAATGCGGGTTCGAATCCTCTTAGAGCCAAAACTCATATTTTTATTTGATTATTGCGACTTTCTTGTAGATCGCTGGTGAAGGATTAAGCAACCAAAATTGCTGGATCATCGACAAAAAATTCATCAACGCGATTCGTCAAGCTCTTAGGAGGATAACATTCAATTTTTATGAATAAGTATTATATTTTCATTTAAATGTTGTATAAGATGATACTGAATACATGAACTTCAAACCTAATTAAGAACTATTCTTGGAGAAGAAACTTGAATCTAAGCATTCCAAAGAGGATATCATGAGTTGATGTAGACTAAGTCACAACTAGGGCAAGCTATGTTAGCAATGGAGAACAGTCATAGAAAACTCGCAGAGTGGGGGAATGGAAAGGTATTAATAATTCAGCTTTTTAACCATCTTCCAGTTTTCATTGTGTTTTTTGTTCGTTTCCATATTCTTCTATGGCGAGTGGCTGTGATGGAGGATGTAGAGAACTAGGTTTCTTTCCATTTTTATTTTCGTTCATTCTACCAATTTTACAAGAGAATCAGAATCAAAATTTTGATTTTCTATCACTCCACCATTGAAGTTAGACCCATCAGCATGGTTGAGTTGATTCTTATTTTTAGAGTCTTTTGTTTGATTAGTGCCAGGTTTTCTATTTCATCTTTTCTCTCTTGGAAGTTTAGTTTCCTGTATTCTTCTCTTATTTAAGAGGCGCTGAAGAACAAGCTGGTGTATAAACTACATTCGGATCAGGTGCAATTATAGAAGGATATTGTTGAGAATTAATGAATCCCAAGATGCAGCTAAACGATACCAAGAGAAGAATTAAAAAAACTTCATTTGTATTTTGAGTTATTTTGGAGAAAAAAAGAGCGATCACTGCATATTATTAAACTATCCCTAAGGAAAAAACCTGTATTCCACTATTGCTTAATTACTTCTAGAATTCAGTTTTTTGAAATTACTAAATTGTGAGTTTTAGAAGGAATGACTAAGATTTGCAACATGCAACATGCACATGTAAAATGCACATGGACATGTACATGGACTACCATTTGCAATGTAAAATGTTGTATCCATCCACCCTCACCTCCTTAGTACCTGAATTCCAACCCTAGCTAATATGTTATTGTGGAGAATGCCATGTAAGTTGGGTGGTGAGGTGTGAATGAAATTTAGAGATTTTTTCAGAATTAGATACTTTTGGACAATCCTTTGTCCCTTATGTTATATTTATATAACACTCTTAGCAATGAAATTCGTGCTTCATCTTTCATGCAAAAACAAGGAAGTCAATTAGAATTTTCTCACTTAGAGCATGTTCTAGTCACATAGAAAATCTACAAGGTTGAATCAAGAATAGAAGTGTTAGAATACTCAGATATATGATAAATCTCATCAAACCAACTTGATAGGTTTGGGCTTTAAAAAGAAAAAAAATCAGTAAGAATCAGCTAAGTAGATGGTAACAACTATTCAAAAACCTAATTCTAGTTGAGGTTTCACAGTTCCAATTAGAAGATGTTTTCAGAAAGCTACCCCTTTGAAAGAGAAAAAGTAGAGTAAAAGCTCCAAAAGATAGGGATTAGATATAGGTTGTGTAAACTTCTCTCCATCATCTCAAGAAAAAAACATATGAGGAAAAAGTTACTTATCAATAGCATTGATAATGATAATGAATGAAGGTAAGACTTTAAACCACAGGAATTGGAATTGAGTGTACGATGGATACCATTCTTAAACAATAGGAAGAAGTCTAATATCTAGTAGGTGGTATGTACTAAAAAGGCAAGGTTTAACTTGTAGAAGAAGTGATCTGAAATTTTAAGTGCAATGTTGAGGAGAACATATTAGAACACTAATTAGCCTTTAAAGTTGGGTATGAAGAAATTTGGATCCATGCTCAAGTCATTTATTATCACCTAAATCTCCTAACATTGAAATATGATGTTTTAACCCATCGTTGGTCCTAATTAACTAATTTATATGGATTGCTAGGGAACTAGTGATCCACTTTGGTTGTTATAGACAAAATATTCAAATTTTAAATATTTCTAGCTTAAATTAAAAAGAAGAATTAAAAATAGGGATGATGGTTAATATGATTGTCAATTCTTTTTTGTTAATAATTTATTGAAATAAAAATCTGAAAATAATATTCTCTACCTTTTGATTTTCTTCAATGCTTGATGATGTTTTCACCAAGTTCTAAGCTTTGAATTTTGGAGATTTTATTTGTGCCCACATTTTATAATTGATTAATGAGATTAGATCTGCCAAATATTCCACATAAAATGGTCGAGAAAGTTTCAAATAGAAAAGAAAAATGAAGGATGAAAAAATCTAAAATCAGGAAAAACGAGGCAAGGAGAGAGAGAAAACAATCATCAACTCAATCTCCTTATTGATAGTAAAATAAAAACCAATTTGAGTCAAATTCTGATCAACACTGATTAATCATTCAAAATAAATGGACCTAAATGATCAGAACTAAATTAATTTTTTCAGAAAAACTATAATAATGAAAACAACTACAGAAAATGGAAATAAAACACAAATTATCTATCAGTGGAGTTGCTCCACTAGTAGCAAAATAGGAAAATGATTTCAATTTGAATCCATATAGAAATTGAGTAATGCATCAAATTAAATACATAGAAACAATCATACTCAAGTTAACTTTATGAAATAATAGCTAAAAAATAAAATAAATCTATGGCAATAATCTATCACTAGACAATAGAGTATCATTGTGGCATGAAAATGGAATAGAAATAAATTCAAATGTTATTAAAATTCGGATTAAAATGCTTAATCTTGTTGGTTGCATGTCACACTAACAATGGAATAAGTGAAAATGAAGGTAAAATCAAATAAAACAAATTGAATTCTGAAACACCCCTTATTTGCTCTACCCATTTGCCACGCAAATAAAACATTATAAAATGAATGGAAAGTTGGTCCAAGGGGCTGTAAAAAGGCCTTAATCTCATTGTCTGCATGTCAGTCAAACAATAAATTAAGAAAAAAAGAAAAAGAGTTCAATCAGAAGGAAAATTGGACTCATAAGTTCCCAATGTAGCTCTATTTGTTTCTACTTGTTAGTTGAATAAAACTTTCCTTTAAACACTAGAAAATTGATCAAATCCTTTAGACGTTACCATCACAAAGCTTCCTTCCACAGTCCTAAGATCTCCTTTCCAATTTTTGTGGAAGAAATCTTGATAATCCTTGAAAATTAGAAATTCATGGCAATGTCGAGAACAAAGAATGAATGATGTCTTTGTACATGGATGACCGTAGCATAAAATGTTGACCTCTTCATTTGTTGACTTATATTAACATGACTCATAAACCTTTGACAAGTCCTCTTGCTACTGTGGCCATAAATCACTACATTTTATTTTCATTTAGATCAAGAGAATTTCTAAATTATTAAAAAAATGACTGAAAATATCTTTATAAATTCCTTAAAATTAAAAAAATCTATTTTTCAATATTAACATGATTAATGTCCTACGAGTTGTAAAATAATGATCAAAGTTATAGATCTTGGATAATCACATTAGCCCCTAGATTAAAAAGGAGAAATATATCGCTATCACATAATTTATAAAAATTATCCACTTACAGAATTTATGATAGGATCCTAAAACCAGTACTAACATATTTAACTTAATTAATTCATATGTTCTGTCGATTAATGTGAAAGCTACTTTGTATTTAGTTTAGTTGTAATATAAATAGAATAAATTATCAACTAGTAATGATTTAAATTAGGGGGAATGTTAATCCATCATTTTCATTTGATAATCAAGGTAAAATCAGAAGAAATACTATCTTAACCAATGTCAAATGTAATGAACTAAATGAAAGCATTAAAACAGATTGTAGAGTACAGATCATGAATTTTTACCTAAATCTGGATATGAGTCTTGAGAAATATTACCTTTTTGCAGTTGATAGTGTTCAGGAAGCTAGAAATTTTCTAAGATTTATAGAGGAATTTACCAAGGAAGTCAAAATGCAATAGTAATGCGCTGAAAACGTCAGGCCCAAGAAGAAAAAGCCGTTTATTGGGGGATAAATAGGCAGACCTTAGGGCGGGAAAGGGGGCCTTTCCGGGGATGGAGGAGTTTCCATTGGCAGTGGTGCGAAAAGAGCACAACAGGGGCACAAACGAAGCCTTCACCTACAATAGTCGACCTCTCTCCATATGAGGGGCAGAGACTAGCAGGAAAGAAAAATGGGGAAACTTGTGAACTCTTGTTTTGCGTTCGAATCGCGTTTTACTTTCAGTTCTTATTAGTCTACTTTTGTGGGTGACAAGCACACAATAGCATTAAACTTTCTATCAGCTCTAACTCTTGCTGTTATATTGATATTCGAATTTTATTTCAGCTACTCCATTTTCATCCTTTGGTGACAAATTGGGGCAACTTCCGTTTCGATTTCTAATGTAGGTTGCCGACGGGTTGTATTTCTTGACAATGAGTTTAGATATTAGTTTGTCTGAGATTTTCTAGACCAATCTATTTCCCCATTCCATTGCTGGAGGGTTGAGATGCGTCGGCAGGTGTCTTTCTCTTCCAATCCTCTGCTCTCCCTCTCCTCTCCGTGCATCCTTCTACCACCAACCTCTGATCAAGGTACCGCAGAACTTGACAATCTCAATAGAACACCAAGTACATAAGAACTATGGATGGAGAAGAAAGAAATTAATCTCCTCATCTACTCTTGTTATTTCAAGTTAGTAAATATTCGAGAACGTAATTAGATATTTGAAATGGTAGGCATCCCTGAGGATAGACCTGAACCCACAAGAAATTCAATAATAATTTCCGTTTTGAGTACAGTTATAAAACTTTAAAATATGGATGCACTGTTATGCGAATGACCAGAGTTCAACCTATAACGAAACCCCAAGTCAATCGATTATACTTTCATTCCTACAACCAGAGTTAGCGTTAGACATGCAATGCTGATGACTTCAGTCCAACTTTTATGGCTTACCTAAAGCATTAAATGAAAGTCAACATAACCATTCATCCGTAATTGACCCGCTATATTCCTCGTAATGTTTCCATTTTTCAGGCAAAGGAAGCTTATCTGGTGTCCGTAAACATGGGATTCCACAGTTTACTCTTATTAGCTTATCTGGTGCCGGCACAACTCATGTTCACCGGTCCTTCGGCAGGACCAAGACCATCAGGGGACTTCCAACATTGTGGACCCCGTCAGACCAGGTCAACCTCCCGAAGAGGTATTCAAAGACTGCCGCGCTTCTCTCGGCCTCCATTGTGACCTTGAACTCCTTCACCTCGCCGACACTTTTGAACGCGATTCTCTCCGGATTCACCTTCACGGAGATTCCCGGCGGCGGTACCACTCGGGCTCTGTATATACCTGGTGGGCCGACGTTCGTCACCTTCCTGGTGACGGTCGTCTGGTTGGAGAGCTGCGGGACGCTGATGGAGGGGTAGTTGAAGTCCAGAAGCTTGGAGGGGCTCTTCGGGCAAGAGAAGGACGCCTCGGAGAACATGGCGACCTGACTGGAGTTGTACCCGAGGGCGCAGAGAAACAGGAGGTAGTCCTCCACCGTCAGGTCGTAGACAAGGCCCGGATCCATGGCGAGGTTCGGACGGACGTGCCCGGCGCCGTAGCTGAACGGGGTGGCTGCCAAGAATGAGGAATCGAGTATGGGCTTCCCCAGGTTATCTTCGGTCGTCGCTGCAGCAGAGTAAAAGCAGCAAGAGACCAAGATTAGTTGTCGAAAAACTGGGCAAACTTTCATACAGCTCTGACTCTGTGCTCACCTGTGGTCATGATGGCAGACTTGATCGCCGCCGGGCTCCAGTCGGGGTACAGGGTTTTGAGGAGTGCGGCGATTCCCGAGATATGGGGGCACGACATCGACGTTCCTGATATCGTGACGTACGGCACCCTCCGCTTGTCGAAGTCCAGGCCCGTTGGACCCACAGCTTCGCTGTAGGCAGCGATGACGCTGACACCGGGCGCGGTGATATCCGGCTGCCACCCATTCAAACGTCAAGAGAGTGAATGATAAGTATCGAGACAAAAGGATACATATATAGATAGATAGATAGATAGACAGGTTGTTAGATGCATAGATAGAAAGATAGACAGAAACATAAACAGAAACATAGTTAGAAACATAGAGAGATACATAGATAGATAAATAGATGCTAGATAGAACGATAGAAAGATGGAAATAAAGATAGGAAGATAGATACACAGAAAGATTGACAGATTGATACACAGATGAATAGATATATGTATATATAGAGCGAGACGTAGGGAATGAGGGAGAGAAAGATGGGGTGAGAGAGAGAGAGAGAGAGAGAGAGAGAGAGAGAGAACGGAGTGAGATGGGTAATGGAGGAGAACCTTCAGGATCTCTGGGGTGATGAGGTTGGGTCCTTTAGACGAGAAGGCAGCCATGAAAGGCGATGGCTTGATATTTGTCGCGGTTGCGGGCGCGGTGATGGTGCCCAGGGGCTTGCTGCAGCCAAACCAGCCTCATCAGAGGGCGTCGGCTGATGAGAAAGAGGCACGGATTAGGGTTGTAAGCTGCTCACCTTGTTGAAATGATGTACTTGTAGAGAGTGATGCCCTTATGATAAGAGAGATGGACGGCGGGGAGGAGGTGGGCGTCTGCGATGACTTCGTTACCCTGCTCTTCCGAGTTCGCGAGGATCATTCCGGCGCCACCGGCGAGGAGCACGGCCTGCCCCTTCTCCACCCTCGCGTTGATCCCCCGGAGGCACGCCACGATCTTCCCCTTCACCTTCTCCGGATCCAGAGAACCCAAGAAGCAGAGCTGCCTGCAAGAACCACCCCCAAAGTCCTCCGTCACTCCCAATCGGGACGCCACCAAGACGACGATTAAGAGAGGGAGGGAGGGCCGCGGTCGTCGTTACGCGGCGGTGAGGTTCGAGTTTCCGGCCCGAGCGGCGGCGGAGTTGATCAGAGGGTAGAGCTTCCCCGCCGGGAGGCTCGTCGCCGAGAGGCTCTCCCCCTGCGAGAAGAACGCGGCGGCATAGTGAGCTCCCCGAGGAAGATGACGGAAGGAAGGAAGGAAGGAAGGAGGAGCGTGACCTCGAGCGCCGCCCTGTTGCCGAGGACGGCGGCGGAGGGGAACTTCCGGTCCATGGTGCTGGCGGCAATGGTGAAGATCCACGGGGCGACGTTTGATATTGACCCCGAGGCCGGGCCGGAGTTGCCGCCGGAGCAGGCGACGGTGATTCCATTCTTCACGGCGTGGAACGACCCGATGGCCAGCGCGTCGACGGCGTAGTCGCTGGGGTTCCCGCCGAGGGAGATGGAGAGCACGTCGACGCCGTCGTGGATGGCGGCGTCGATGGCGGCGAGAATGTCGGCGTCGAAGCAGCTTCCGGCGTCTACCGGTTTCCAGCAGACCTTGTACGCCGCCACCCGGGCTCTGGGCGCCCCGCCCTTGGCCGTCCCGTTGCCTAAGCCGAAGAGATTGACCCCGGGCACGAAGGTACCTGCGGCCGTGGAGAGGGTGTGGGTCCCATGTCCGTCGAAATCGCGAGGACTGTTCAACTTGGGGTTAATGGGCCCCACGGCTGCCACGTACCCCTTGTTGAAATATCTGGCCCCTATCAGTTTCCTGGACCACCAAAATCTTAGCGTTCATCAATTCGATCGATAGACCACACCGAAATCAGAATTCAAATCATGCGTGCCGTCTAATCATCCATTCGATTGAGCACTGCCCTGTTATCAGGTTCTATATCTTTTTCGAGTGCAACAACTATTTCAGGATATCTCTTTTATCTTTTAATTTTTGGGTCGATAATTCAGCAAAAAAAAAATCGTCAGCGTTGACCTCTGTCACTATCATAATAGCTGTAATTAAACTATTTATTTAATCAAGAGAAATCAATAGAAGTTCAGGCCGTTTGAATCTATCGGATATTTGGTGCACGGAGGCGGCCCGCGTCCACAGGCGAACAGCGTGGAGGGAGAGGGTCGGATTCACCTGTTGCAGGAGAAGCTCCGGTCGCCGCCGCGGTCGCAGGCCCCCTTCCATCTCGCCGGAATAGGCCCCAAGTTGCTGTCGTCGAAGCTGGCGGACTCCGGCCATACCCCTGCCGGCGGCAGAGCTCAATGAGAACAAGAGGAGAGAGGGAAAGAGAGATTGGGAGAAGAAGTACCGGTGTCCAGGCTTCCGATGATGGTGTCCTTCCCGAACATGGCCTTCGTCCAAATGGAGTTCGGCGGAACCACACCGCCGCTCTCCAGTCCGAGGAAGTTCCAAGAACGCGTCGTTTGCAGCTGCCTTCCCTCGTTTGGGAATACCGCCATGACCGCCGGCGACTCTGTCGCGGTGGCAGAGGAGGATCAGAGCTGGAGGAGCGACGACGAAGGCGAACGAAGGCGAAAGAAGGTGGAAGAGGAGAGGGAGAGAGAGAGAGAGAGAGAGAGAGAGAGAGAGAGCACTGTCCCACTCGAAATCTCCGCGACCTCCTCGTCTTCGAGCGTTGCGGCGAAGCCATTGATGAACCTTGAGTAGGAGTAGAAGATAGCACCCCGCGCCGCCTCTTCGCTGAAAAATGCGGAGACAGACGTCAGCCCGATTCTCAGGAAGAAGAAGATGCCGCGTGCCGGCCAATAAAGTGTCTGTCACCTGCCCAAGAAGGATCCCAGGAATACGTGGTGGGCGGCCTCCACCTCCTCCGTCCGGACCAGGGAGGCTTCTTCCCCCCTGCGAGAATGGGTCCCCATGTAAACGACGTACGACTGCAGATGAGAGAGAAAGAGTCAGATTCTGATCAACAGAGGAAACAAACCAGCAGGAGGAGGCAGTGCTGCCGACCTTCCTGACGGCGGCGGCGGGCCTCTGCGACAACGCGCATAGAAGAAGCAAGAGGATAGAGAAAGGAATCCTCCGAGAGGAGCCCGTCACCGGAGCTCGCCTTCCTCCTCCCTCCATCCGTCTCTCCCGCACGGCGATCAGAGAATCTCCCCCTTCATGGAGAACAGATCATCATCTTGTAACAGTAAATGAAGAGCAGACGGAGGATGTCAACCTCCGCCAGCTCCACTCGGGACGCCGGCGAGCGACGTCAGCGATGGGGAACGCTCGTAGCTGGATCTAGAGATGCCGTCGGTCATATCTTCGATTAAAATAATGGAATCAGGCCGCTTCAATACGGTGAGACCAGGAAAGAACAAGCTACATGTGCATATGTGGCTTCAAACGACGCCATTTTCCGCTCTCTTCGGCCACCAGTCAGTGTCGGCTCCGACCCACATCAGTCAAAGTATAAACCGTACGCCATTTCTGACCCCTTTTCATAAGCTCGGATGAGGGTTCTCATCTGCAAGTTACGGGACAACGACTCTTTTCATATGAGAGAAACTGAGGCGAATTGTCATTGGAGACCATGGAGTTCATCTCCAACACTAAGGCGAAGGTTCTCTGCGGCACAGCGACCTTCATTCTCGATGGGCCTCCCTCCCCACCGCAAGCGTCTGCGGGCCGGTCCTGGCCTACCTTCATTCCTCATAGCATAATGGACGGAATTAGATCTTAAAGTATAGAGATAATGTTTTGGTATCATATCCCACCTCATGTGGCGTGAATTGCAGGGAATTTCTCTGGGCAAAAACGACAGAGAGAGGATCCTTCAATAGATTTTGCTGAAAATCCATGGATTTTTCATGAACTGAAAATAGATTATTCGATTAACCTGGCGACGTCCATGTCACGAACTTCGAACCTGAGACGAGGATGGGTTCGAATTTATGCCATCGGAGGAGGAGATTTGGAGGTGTTGGCTCCGCGCTTATTTAGGACAGTTGCGGTTTACCCGATGAAAGATACGATCGGATCCTTGTCGGCGACTCGGTTCGACTCTGGATTAGCTCGGAACTCGGAGTTGGTGGACCTGGCCACATCGAGGTCTCCGAGTCGTCCAAGATGTTGACATTTTGTCCTCTGGTAAAGGCGTGGACTAAGAGATTCAACCCGGTGGCAGGTCCGTTGGGCCTAATCATTACGGTTGGATTTCGGGCCAGGCTGGCTAGGGTCACTCGGCCCGTTATTCAGGGTTTAAGAGGGTTTGAAGGGCGGCCAGCAAACCTAAAGACCATGTAGACAGTCAGAGAGCGAGAAAGAGAATGAAATAAAGGTAGGGAACCAATGGCCCAAGTCGTAGTCCGCGCGTCATAATTTTTTTCTCTTGAAAGGTAGACAGAAAGGGTGAGGCTGGCAATTGAACAGCCCTTCTTCTTGGAATTTTCATGAGGCTGTAGATTGATTCAATTCTTGATGCTTGTTTGAAAGCAAGGGCAACCAAAGCTCGAATAGTCCACTCTGAGATTAGTACCAAAACATTTGGACAAAATAATCTTATGTTGGCATAGAACACTCGAAAGGCCACATTGTTTTGATAGAAGGAAAACTATCTATTCAATATGTAATGTTACTATTGGAGCTATATAGAAGGTAGCCCTAATGATTTTTAAGGAATAGAAAAAATAGTGTGAGTTTATAAGAATGAAAGAAAATTAGATACTGAAAAAAGGTTGACAAAGAGCCAACATCAGCATATAAGTAAGCACCAAAAGGCTTGAAGAGTATTATGCACCCTAATAATGAATAAAGTATTTATAAGATGAATGTACATCAACATAATTCCAACTACATATCAATACACCAATATTGGAATAAAGATGTAGAATCGATGAGGGTAAGGTTTGCTTAGTTTTATTTCAGTTATTTGATCAATAGAGCTGATGGGTTGTTGAGTGTTTCTAGAATCGTAAATGTCGAACCACGAGATACCACTTTGTTGTGTTTAAAGATTACCTAAAGTTGTGAGCTTAAGACCAATTGTTGAAAGCATTTAGGTTATTGCAGCCCAAGTCCAATGGACTCAAAATGACGGATTGTAACTAACTGTTGCATTATTTGTAGGTAGTGAAACTCAAAGAAGATAACTTTGAAGACCTGAGCAGGCTGAGTGTCAACCATGTAAATTGTATCTCTCATATTTGATTAATATAATCATTGGTTAGGTCACTTAACTATATTGTTACTCACATTAGATTTATTTGCATATTAAGTCATTACAGAAATAATGATCAATTCACTCCCACCATTTATATCATTCATGACCCCATGAAAATAAATTCTGATAATGCTAACATACTGGAGTAGGAATGAATTAATGAATATGATCACTAAGGTCCAACATCAATATTTCTCCCACCATACTTCATTTTAGAACAAAACTTACAAACAAAAGGTTGATGCTACTTAAACTTGTGTTTTCTAGTATTTCTATCAGGATATGTACAATTATTGATTATTAAAAACCATATTGTATTTCAACTTTTTTTATCAAAATTGGAAAAAATATGTTAATGCTTTCCAGAGCATGACAAGGAAAAAAGCTCCCAAAATGAGATTCATTCCACATCCTTCGAAGCCTGTTAAATATTCGAATGTTAGTTGAACATATCTTCCAATCTGCTAAGTATCATACAACCTTTTTTTCTTCACCATCAACCAACTCAAATATCATCTGTCTCAGAATCGCTAAATTTTCAGAGAAGCTCCTCTTTTAACTAGAAATAAAAATATTAGAAAATCCTTTAGCGAAGTGTGGAATTATGTAACTTATTTAGATGATCATTGACCGTGTCGGCGGTTCAAGCTTCAGGAAACCAAGCCATGCTACCTAATCATGCCACACAGACGCTGGCGTAGCAAGTGTAATTAGCTCATACGACGCCAATGACAATGGGGCTTCTGACGTTGTGAACGCCGTCCGACCACGTTAAACGGCCGAAGACATATGTGCCGGCCTGTGCGCCAGACTCCGCCTTCACCGTGACGCTGAAGATCTCCTCCTGGCCGTACTTGCTGAAGACGAGGGTTTCCGGAGTTACCTTTACCGAGATACCTTGTGGGGGAGTCACTTGTGCCGTGTACGTGCCCGGCGAGCCAACGTTCTTCACCTTCCTATTGACGGTCGTCGGAGCGGATAGTCGTGGTACGCTGATGGAGGGGTAGTTAAGGTCGAGGAGCCTAGGAGGAATCAGCGGACACGCGAATGGCGTCCCGTCGAAGATGGCGACCTCCCCCGAGGTGTACCCGATGGCGCAGAGAAAGCGGAGGTAGTCCTCCACCGTGAGGTCGTAGACAAGGCCTGGATCCATGGCGACGTTCGGGCGGACGTGCCCTGCGCCGTAACTGAACGGGGTGGCCGTAAAGAAGAACGAATCGAGTATAGGTTTCTCCTGGTTATCATCGGTCGTCGCTGCAAGCCGAGTGGACAGCAATAGATCCAAATCAGTTGTGGAAAAGTTGGGTAACCTATCATTCAGTGCAGACCCGAAACTCACCGGTAGTCATGATTGCGGACTTGATCGCCGCCGGGCTCCAGTCAGGGTGCAGGGTTTTGAGGAGGCCAGCGACCCCGGAGATGTGAGGGCACGACATCGACGTTCCGGACAATATGTTGAATCGAACACGGCGGTTGTCGAAGGAGTTATCAGATGGTCCAACTGCCTCCGTGAAGGCAGCGAGAACGCTCACACCTGGAGCAGTGATATCCGGCTGCAAGCCATTCAATGCACATATGAGAACCGGGAAACGACTAGAAAGTTCTGTGGAAGGGACTAGGAGTGAGGGAGGTAGGGAGCGAGGGGGAGAGAGAGAGAGAGAGAGAGAGAGAACCTTAAGGATCTCGGGGTTGACAGGGTTGGGTCCTCGGGATGAGAAGGCGGCCATGAAAGGAGCCGGCTTGGTGCCTACCACCGTGGTAGGTGCGATGATGCGGGCGACAGGGTTCCTGCAACCAAGGTGAACGATCAATCCCAGAAACAATCTTGTCAAACTCCGTAATATAGGTGTCAATAGTTCAATTTAATCAGCAAAAAATTCTATTTGCGGTTTAAAACTGAGGTTTTTGAAATCCATGAGTAAAACAATGTGCATGCTAGTTAAAAAATAGAAACAGTATTGATAATACAGGAATAACATGAAATATTTGTTAAATGAAGGAAAAAGCTGAAATATTGACGTTTAACATTGATTGTCCAACTTAGTTCAGAATTTACGGTATTCTGATTGGAAACTAGACTAGGTTTCAATACAACTCAGAATTTAAGCCCTAATATTGACGTTAAGTCAGTAAACCTGCATCAGAAAATGTAGTGAAATCCATGACGATGCAGCTGGAATCGTGATAATATGAGCTAAATTCACTATAAATCTACCATAAATTAGACAATTCTTAGGCGATTATGACTAAAGTAGTCCATTGTGGGCGTAGATCGGTTTTGCAGTCCTCTAAGATTTGATTGTTGAGATTTGATGTGGGTCGCGAGTTGTCAATGATATGCTTTTCTAGAGATAGAGGAGGTTTGGACATCCATAATAAAGTAAGAAGAGAGAGGTGGAGGGTCGCGGGTGTCTGGTTGGTGGCTCATAAGTGAGTGCAGTGATTCTCGCTTGGGCTCGGTTTTGGCTGTAGATAGCAGAGAATATTGACTGAATTACTTACGCGAAAGAATTGCTGTAGTTGTAGAGGATGAGGCCGTCTTTATATGATAACCCTACGGCAGGAAGGACGTGAGGGTCGGCGGGTACATGGTTCGCCCGGATGGCAGGATTTGTAATGATCACCCCGACGCCGCCGGCGAGGAGCACCGTCTGGCCTTTTTCCACGTTCGAGACGTTCCCCCGTAGGCAGGCCACGATCTTCCCCTTCACCTTCTCTGGATCCAGCGAGCCCAAGGAACAGAGCCGCCTGAGAGGGATCCAAAGACAATTCAGTAGCAAGAACACACGGTCAAAGATGGAGGAAACAGGGTGGTCGTTCTTACGCCTCGTCGAGGGTAGAATTTGCAGCGCGAGCGTCGACGCTACTGATCAGAGGATAGGATTGGTCCGCCGGGAGACTGGAGGCGGAAAGGCTCTGCCCCTGGAGGAAGCACGCACGAATGGAGAAGACGACAGAGTGAGCTTCGAGAAGACGACCGAAGAACGAACAACTGAGGAACGGTTCTGAGGGGTGGCCGAACCTTGAGTTGTACCCCGCTTCCGAGGATAGCATAAGAGATGAACTCCCGGTCCATGGTGCTTGCTCCCACAGTGAGGATCCATGGCGCGACGTTCTCCACCGTTCTCCAGAAGGGACCCGAGTTCCCGCCGGAGCCCACCACGGTGATCCCGTCCTTCACGGCGTGAAACGACCCGATGGCAAGCCCATCCTTAATGTAGTCGCTGGCTCTGTGGCCAAGGGACACAGAGAGCACGTCTACACCGTCTTCAATGGCTTGATCGAAGGCGGCCAGGATGTCGGCGTCGAAGCACCTCCCGCCTTCTGTGGGGCCCCAGCACACCTTGTACACCGCCACCCGGGCGCTGGGCGCCCCGCCCTTGGCCGTGCCGTTGCCGAAGCCGAAGATACTGGCGTCCGGCACGAACCGGCCGGCGGCGGTGGCGAGCGTGTGTGTACCATGGCCGTCAGTGTCACGGGAGGTGATCTGGCTGGCGGTTAACGTTCCCCCGGCGGCTAAATATCCCTTGTTGAAGAACCGGGCCCCGATCAGCTTCCTAGGTCAAGGAAATTGCAACATTTGTCGATCTCATTAACGGTAATAGTAACACATCAATCGAAATCGTATTAACGGGAAAGCATTGGTGACTGACTGCGATAGCACTGGTCCACACGGTGGGAAGAGCAACTACGTGAAGGTAGATGGATGGAGGGAAAACGATGGCCAAACCAGTGACGGTGACTGGCCATCTATCGTTCTCGGTTTGAAACATTATATCGTTTGAGTATGATGCTGGTGATTGCAATGTTAATGACGATGCTTTCAAGGAGCACTGAACATACCTATTGCAGCGAATGGGATCGCTGGGGCTGCTCTCGCAGGACCCCTTCCACCTCGACGGGATAGGCCCCAACCCGTCGTCATTAAAACTTGCCGACTCCGGCCACACCCCTGCGCGGAATCCGGTCAGAAACCCAGTAGATAACGGAAGGTCTGTGCAGTTTTTATGGGTCAACTGGTTTCCTCTCAGATAATGACTGAGATAGGTAGATAGGGTAGATAGATGGATAGATGGATGGATAGATAGATAGATAGATAGATAGATAGATAGATAGATAGATAGGGGAAAGAGAGAGAGGGAAAAAGATGGCGGAGAAAGCAAATCGAGGAGAGGAGAGGTTAGGGTGGATTACCAGTGTCAAGATTCCCGATGATTGTATCCTCTCCGAGCCTTGCCTTCCTCCATATGGAGTCATCAGGGACAATCCCATCGCTCTCCAGCCCTAGGAATTCCCATGAGCGCGTCGTGTGCAGCGCATGCATCTGGTTGGGGAACACCGCTATTACCGCCGGTGACTCTATAAATATCAAAAGCGAAGGATAATTAGCAGGCTGCAGTTCAGAGCTACCAAGGGAAAGAGACGGATGAGGCTGGTCGAAGAGTCCAACTAGATATCTCCATCGCCTCCTCCTCCTCGAGGTGTGCGGCGAATCCATTGATGTGCCTCGTGTAGGAGTAGAAAATAGCGTCCCGCGCCTTCTCCTTGCTGCATCAACAGTCGATGCCCAAGAATTGAGTAATGTTAACTAAAAAAGAGATAGTGAGGAGGGAGAACATATGCCCATTATTTTCGAATGAACGTTCAGTTACCTGCCCACGAAGGGTTCCAGGAACTCGTGGTGGGATACTGTGACCACATCCGTCTGTAACAAGGGCACCTCTTCTCGGCTGTGATGATGCCCCCCCATATATACAACATACGACTGCAAGGCAGAAACAGGAAACCCATCAATAGAAAGATTGATGAGGAGGCTCGAGGAACCAAAAAAAGGGGAGACCAGATAAGTGTTACTTGCCTTCCTGTTGGCGGAGGTCGGTGTCTGCAGCAGTGCACAGACAAGGAGCCATTGAAGTGAGAGAAGAACCTTCCGAGGGGAAGAACCCATCTGCAGAGTTCCCGTTCTCCTCTCCCGTCCTCTCCTCCGTTCGGCCGAGAGAGGATACCTAACTGGTTGTACTTCGTAAGATGGAAAACCCTGTTAATAATTGGTTTTAAATTGCGTATGACGCAAGGATTACTTATTAGGACAGGGCCTGACCCTCCTGAATAAACCCTGAACAATATCCTAAAACAACAGCACGTTGCCCCAATGTCAACCAAGAGGAGAAAAGGAAACAACGAGGAACCCCACGAAAAAAATTTGGCCCAACTGCTAAGGCCTCTTATTTCAGGAACTCTCACCGTCATCTCGCGAAGAATCAGTCTTTCCGCGTTGTAGTGCAACTTCTCACACGCCATGTTAGCGCGACATCTCACGCGCTAAGTGATCACTCGGCCGGTGAAGTCGGCAAATGACACGCTATAGGCAGGCCAAAGAGTCAACGGAGGCATGCTGCTGCTCGTCTCCCCCAGTTTCGTTTCCACCTCAATGGGTCGAGACCCAGATTGTCCATTAAGGTAGCCGGAGATCGGTTGCTGAAAAATGTTTTCACAAATATAGAGAAAGGGAAATAGAGGTAGGGAAATAGGCCAAGTCCTGAGCTCTCGAGGAAGATTTTTCTCCCTGGAAAGGTACACATAAAGGGCGAGTCCGGCGACCGTACATAAAAGTGTGTTGAGAGTCGTTAGCTCAAGGCCTTCTTCTCGTCTTCTTTCATGGGCCCAGATGGATTCAGGTCTTGATCCTTGTTTTAAAGAAAGGGAAACCAGTGCTCAGGCACAACTTGGAAGCAACCTATGATAGGATCTCGTTTTACAGGGTGACAATTGAATTGCTGAATCTTGATTTTATCGCATTAAATAACTAAAAGTCTTGAAGCCTTCATACGTGTCCACGAAGTTGATTAATGCCTAAACTGGGAAACCATATGGCAGGGCCATGATGTATCTATACTGACATTGAACTACAATACATAGAACGGAGATTGTTTCCTCCCAAGTCGCTTGGATAACACATACGTTCAGATATGACAATTATACAGCATTACATGAGAAGCACCAGAACAAACACTTGAAACAGATCCACTGATGTGGTTGTAAGACAATCTTCAAGCGTCAAGTTCGAGAATTCAACAAAAAAGTACAATGTAAACAATGAAGACATAAAGATAATGCTTCCTAAAGGGTGTAGGTCACCATCATATTCTCCCCAATTCTGATTATATCCTCTAAAATGTCCCTCATATTTAATAATAAATCAGCCATGAAAATACTCTATTGATCTTCTATCAAATCAAAGATTGTTTCATCCTCAGTCCTCATCATTAACTGTGCATTTTTATTTTCCTTCAAATTTTTATGTTTTTAATGTTGGATTTTAGGCTACACTAAGATTAAGCAGGGTGGTTTGAATTGTTCTACTTCAAATTTTGACTATGTTCTACTAAAATTTATTAGGTATTCCTAATTTCAACAATCTTCTCCCTCAAATTCCAACTCACATGATCTTTCTAGATCTAAATGTGTGTTAAGTATATTTTTCATTAGTTAATACTTAAAATATATTATTAAATAACTATTAACTCATGATAATTAAAACTTATTACTAACTTTCACAAATTATTTATGAAGTTTAAAAAGAGATTTTGTTATGATTTAAGTTCTGCATGAGAGGTTTATGCCAAGCACTATTACAAAAGTACATGATTGTAGTATGAGACTTTGGGAAGATATTGAAATGGATTGGTTCTATGTCATTGATTTGCCGAATGAGCTTTACTTTCAATATTTTGCACTTAGTTGCATATCAAGATCAATCAGCTATTTCTAGTGATCCATTTGAGCCTGATCCATTATCAGTGAACTAGAAACCAAGCATCCTGGAGTCATATTTCCTACATGGTATGAAAAAATAGACAATATATTGGATGAAAACTTATCTCTATTAGAAGAGATGAGTTTCAGTGCCTCTTTGTATGCTGGAAAGAACATCTACCATCATATAATTCATGGATCTTTCAAGAGGAGCTATGACATTTGGACCTAGATCTTCTCCCTCATTAGCAAGATTGATCTAGCATACACTTGACAAAGACATGTTCTTTCCATCCTAGGAGAGTTGGTGATGGACAACAGTGCACCAGCTCAAGTGCATTTAGAAATGATTTCTATTATTATTAATTCTTTCATTTTTTATTTCTTTATTTTGTTTCTGAACTCTATAAATACGCTCATAATCCTAGTACAAGAGTATAGAAGAATTTGAGAGAAACTACCTATTCACTTTGTGAATGAGAGGCTATGAAGGCTATGCATCACTGCTTTTTGAAGGGGCAACTATGAAGGTCACGCATACTTTCTATGTGAAGGAGAGGCCATGAGGGCTGCTATCTACCCACTATCATAACCCACCATCACTGCCACCAACATTATCTTCTATTGGCCCCATCTCTACCCATCACTACCACCAAAATCATCATCTACTGCCAACTTTACCATCTATTGCCACCATCTCCACCTTACACCATCACCATCCATTGCCATTGCCCCATCCCTAACTCCACCTCTGCATGTTCCACTGCTCCGACCCTCCTTACCTCTGCCTCTGCTATTCGGCCACTGCCACCATCCCTACCTTCGCCTCCACCCATTCTATCACTGTTACTGTCCCAACCTCTGCCTCTGCCTCTACCATTCCACCACTGTCACTATCCTTCCGACCTTCTGCGGCCCATGCTGTCACCACTGTCTCTGCCTTCTATCATTACAACTATTAGTCAACATTCAAACTTGATGGTTAATGATAGCTGATAAGTCAAATATCACAAGTGAGACCCTATTTCTTCTTGTGACCCTCCATCAAGTAGTCATCTACTTTGGTGATAGGGTTATCTTTGAACTCTACATCTTTTCATACTTGAGTCCCTTGTTCTGTTAGTATATTTTCTTACAATATCGTCATTGAGTGATCTTAGATTGGTCACTTTCATACATAGCTGGTGGTGAGGGTAGAGAGATGACCCACTTGATTTGCAGTTATCAATTTGTGGACAATGGAGCATTGTAATCTCTTGGAATTCTTTAGTCACGTCGTTCGAATTCCTTTCAATTCTTGTGGAAACACTCGAATTTATCTTTGTCAATCCTCCTAGATTTCTTAGATCTCATGTAAGAGTCAGGTCTAGGTTACTAGTCTAGGGTGATTTAATCTTTCATCATCTTGACATACATCTTTTCCCTTTTATTTTTTTTAAGACATGAGTAACAGCCATACAAAGGGATCTAACCCTTTATAGCATATACTCTACATTTTTCTTCTGACTTCATACATGTTTTCTCTCCTATGTTTGGTGTTCAACTTCTAGGTGACACATCAAGAGTATTTTGTGATGCCGACAATACTGACCTTACTTTCTTCTGATCAAATTTCTTAGTTGCAAATGGTTGATGATCTAATTTTTTATTTCTATGGATCGTAAGACATCAGACTATAATTTAAATGTAGAAGATCTTGAACCAAACAATGTTTCCAACAGTTTGGATCATGAGCAGGTGCCATTCAATTTGCAAACAAACTCTACTTTGAGTTTCTTGATGATCTTTTTGTCTCAATTTTTGTGGATCAACTTGAAAACTAGTAATATTAAAGATTAATTAGTAAAAAATTCATCACATAACTATCTTAATTTGACACCCTACCTTACAATGATTAAGGCAATAATTAACTTCAAATAGTATTACAACTTTAAATATGAAGGAAATTTTGATAACATATTAATTGGATTAGTTTTAGTAGTAGTTTTGTACACAATAATTTAATGTTTGTGAACAATGTTGCCAGTAAAATGAAACTTTACATCAATACATTTTATCCTTTCATGATACTTCTGATCTTTAGCTAAATGAATAGCACTTCAATAATGACAATAGACAATAGTTAATTTTTTACATGAATTTAAATTCACATAAATAAATTAACCATAACTTCTATTATCACCCTTATAATTTTTATGAACTCTACTTTTGGAGTAGATAGTAAAATAAGCTAAAAAGTAACTTTTTTTTTACTAACAATATAGTGACAAGAAATTTGCAAACTTAAAATCAACAACAAAAGGGAGCAACAAGTTTTGTATCCAAAAAAACAAAAAGCTTGATATCTCAAATGGCAAAACATTCTTTCTATTATTGCATAGCATTCCACATTCCAAATTTAAGCTTAACTTTATTGTGCTCCTCTTCAGTCTACATTATTGCATTAAGCTTTGTCTTTGCTAGGTTCATACACCATGCCTAACTAGTTTAGTGCAGAACAATTGCCCTAACTAATGCACTTTGACTCCAATTAGTTCAATATCTAAAGAGCACATCTTCCACTAAACTGGGGCCTTCCAAAGTCTTGTCTTCTACAGGTTTCATAGACAATTCAAGCTCATGTGTAGTTTATAATTTTTGATAATATTGGTTTGACATCGAGGATTTCTTATCCATCATCATAGACCAAGGCCAATGAATCCAGCCTATCTAAATACATCAGAACTTATGATGCTCTTATGATCAGTAATTGTTAATTTCCGGTGAGCACAACTTCACCCAAGTGGGAAGCTTTCTTGCTCCTTGTTTAGGTTTCGAATATAAGTTCATGATTCCTTCAATCTGCAATATTGGAGCATACTTCAATGTGATATCATCTGATCTACATGAGTTATCCTAATCATGGAACTTTGATAACGAGTATGGTCCAAGTTGATTGGTAAACATGGGATTCTGTAATTTCCTCTTATTAGCATTTCGGACGTTAAGATTTCCGAGCAATACAGAGACAGCTCAAGTTTTTAACCTGTTCTTGGGCCGAATCAAGACCACCAGGGGGCTTCCAACATTGTGGACCCCGTCAGACCAGGTCAACCTCCCGAAGAGGTATTCAAAGACTGCCGCGCTTCTCTCGGCCTCCATTGTGACCTTGAACTCCTTCACCTCGCCGACACTTTTGAACGCGATTCTCTCCGGATTCACCTTCACGGAGATTCCCGGCGGCGGTACCACTCGGGCTCTGTATATACCTGGTGGGCCGACGTTCGTCACCTTCCTGGTGACGGTCGTCTGGTTGGAGAGCTGCGGGACGCTGATGGAGGGGTAGTTGAAGTCCAGAAGCTTGGAGGGGCTCTTCGGGCAAGAGAAGGACGCCTCGGAGAACATGGCGACCTGACTTGAGTTGTACCCGAGGGCGCAGAGAAACAGGAGGTAGTCCTCCACCGTCAGGTCGTAGACAAGGCCCGGATCCATGGCGAGGTTCGGACGGACGTGCCCGGCGCCGTAGCTGAACGGGGTGGCCGCCAAGAACGACGAGTTGAGTATGGGCTTCCCCAGGTTATCTTCGGTCGTCGCTGCAGCCGAGTAGTGACAGCAGACCCAGATCAGTTTTTGAAAAACTGGGCAACCTTTCATACAGCGCCGACTCGGAGCTCACTCACCGGTGGTCATGATGGCAGACCTGATCGCCGCCGGGCTCCAGTCGGGGTGCAGGGTTTTGAGGAGTGCGGCAATTCCTGAGATGTGGGGGCACGACATTGACGTTCCCGAATTCGTGACGTACGGTACCCTCCGCTTGTCGAAGTCCAGGCCCGTAGGACCCGCAGCTTCGCTGTAGGCAGCAATGACGCTGACCCCGGGTGCGGTGATATCCGGCTGCCACCCACTCAAACGTCAAGAGCACGAACAATAGGTATCGAGAAATGATGTCCGTAAACCTGAATGTATACGGTACATCTATATATCTATATAGATACATAGACAGATAGAGAGAGGGAGAGGGAGGGAGAGAGAGAGAGAGAGAGAGAGAGAGAGAGAGAGAGAGAGAGAGAGAACGGAGTGAGATAGGTAACGGAGGAGAACCTTCAGGATCTCTGGGGTGATGGTGTTGGGGCCTTTAGACGAGAAGGCAGCCATGAAAGGCGATGGCTTGATATTTGTCGCGGTTGCGGGCGCGGTGATGGTGCCCAGGGGCTTGCTGCAGCCAAACCAGCCTCATCAGAGGGCGTCGGCTGACGCGAAAGAGGCACGGATTACGGTTGTAAGCTGCTCACCTTGTTGAGTTGATGTACTTGTAGAGAGCGATGCCCTTCTGATAAGTGAGGTGGACGGCGGGGAGGAGGTGGGCGTCTCCGATGACTTCGTTACCTTGGGCTTCGGAGTTCGCGAGGATCATTCCGGCGCCACCGGCGAGGAGCACCGCCTGCCCCTTCTCTACCCTCGGGTTGATCCCCCGGAGGCACGCCACGATCTTCCCCTTCACCTTCTCCGGATCCAGAGAACCCAAGAAGCAGAGCTGCCTGCAAGAACCACTCCAAAAGTCCTCCGTCACTCCCAATCGGGACACCACCAAGACGACGATTAAGAGAGGGAGGGAGGGCGCGGTCGTCGTTACGCGGCGGTGAGGTTCGAGTTTCCGGCCCGAGCGGCGGTGGAGCTGATCAGAGGATAGAGCTTCCCCGCCGGGAGGCTTGTCGCGGAGAGGCTCTCGCCCTGCGAGAAGAACGCGGCGGCATAGTGAGCTCCCCGAGGAAGATGACGGAAGGAAGGAAGGAAGGAAGGAGGAGCTTGACCTCGAGTGCCGCCCTGTTGCCGAGGACGGCGGCGGAGGGGAACTTCCGGTCCATGGTGCTGGCGGCAATGGTGAAGATCCACGGGGCGACGTTTGATATTGACCCCGAGGCCGGGCCGGAGTTGCCGCCGGAGCAGGCGACGGTGATTCCATTCTTCACGGCGTGGAACGACCCGATGGCCAGCGCGTCGACGGCGTAGTCGCTGGGGTTCCCGCCGAGGGAGATGGAGAGCACGTCGACGCCGTCGTGGATGGCGGCGTCGATGGCGGCGAGAGTGTCGGCGTCGAAGCAGCTGCCGGCGGCTACCGATTTCCAGCAGACCTTGTACGCCGCCACCCGAGCTCTGGGCGCCCCGCCCTTGGCCGTGCCGTTGCCAAAGCCGAAGACGTTGACCCCCGGCACGAAATTGCCGCCGGCGGTGGAGAGGGTGTGAGTCCCATGCCCCTCAGTGTCCCTGGGACTGTTCAGACTAGCGTTGATGGGCCCCACGGCCGCCACGTACCCCTTGTTGAAGTATCTGGCCCCAATCAGCTTCCTGGACCACCAAAATCTGACCGTTCATCCATCCGCTCGGGCCGTCCAATCGGGATCTAGAACGATCGGTTCTGGGTTCTATATTTTTTTTCCAAGTGCAGCAATAACTTCATGGTAGCTATTGTTATTGTTTTATTTGTGAACAGATAATTAAGCAAAATAAAGATCGTTACCGTTGACCTTATCATCATTGTCATCGACTTCGTCATCGCTGTAAATAAACTATTTAACGAGGAGAAAATGGTAGAATTTCAGGGGCGTTGAACTTTTGGGATATTGGCCCTCTCAAGTACGGCGGTGGGCTCCTCCACATCGCGGGCGGCCCGTCCACAGACGAAAAGCGCAAGGAGAAGGGACGGTCGAATTCACCTGTTGCAGGAGAAGCTCTGGTCGACGCCGCGGTCGCAGGCCCCCTTCCACCTCGCCGGAATGGGCCCCAAGCCGCTGTCGTCGAAGCTGGCGGACTCCGGCCACACCCCTGCCGCCGGCGGAGCTCCATGAGAACCAGAGGAGAGGGAAAGCGAGAGAGAGAGAGAGAGATTGGGGGAAAAAGTACCTGTGTCCAGGTTTCCGATGATGGTGTCCTCCCCGAACCTGGCCTTCTTCCATATGGAGTCCTCCGGAACCACGCCGCCGCTGCTCTCCAGACCGAGGAAGTTCCACGAGCGCGTCGTGTGTAGCTGCCGCCCCTCGTTAGGGAACACCGCCCTGACCGCCGGCGACTCTGCGGCAGCGGAAGAAGAGGATCAGAGTTGGAGAGGCGACGAGGAAGACGGAGGAAGGTGGAGAAGGAGAGAGATAGAGAGAGAGAGAGAGAGAGAGAGAGAGAACGGTGTCCCACTCGAAATCTCCGCGACCTCCTCGTCTTCGAGCATAGCGGCGAAGCCATTGATGAACCTCGAGTAGGAGTAGAAGATCGCCCCCTGCGCCGCCTCCTCGCTGCAAAATGCAGAGACTGAGGTCGGCTAGACTCCAAGGAAGAAGAAGATGTCGACGTGGCCGGCGAGTGTATATCTCACCTGCCCAAGAATGATCCCAGGAAGATGTGGTGGGCCGCGGCCACATCCTCCGTCCGGACCAGGGACGCTTCTTGCCCACTGCGAGAATGGCTCCCCATGTACACGACGTAGGACTTGAGAAGAGAGAAAGAGAGAGAGTCAGATCCCAGCAAGAGAGGAAAAAAGCAGTAACAGGAGTCAACGGTGACGACCTTCCTGGCGGCGGCGGCGGCCCTCAGCGACAGGGCACAGAGAAGAAGCCAGATGATAGAGAGAGGAATCCTCCGCGAGAAACCCATCACCGGAGCTCGCCTTCCTCCTCCCTCCATCCCTCCCTCTCTCTCTCTCTCTCTCTCTCTCTCTCTCCATCCCCTAGTTTCTCCTCCTTTATGGCGTACAGATCACCATCCAGTGACGGTCCGTGAAGAGGAGAGGGAGGATGTGGACCTCCGGCAACTCCCTTCGGGACTCCGGCGAGTCATGGCGACGGTGGGCCAGGCTCTGGGTTGGATACGTCGTCGCCGTCGGCAACGTCTTCGACTTAAAGAATGGAATCCTGTCGCTACAGTCCGGGGAGACAGGGAGAGAACTAGCTATAGGTGCACATGGGCCTCCTCCAGTCGTCATTGCTCCGCTCTTTTCGGCTCCCAGTCGCAGTCTCTTAGCCTACTCAATCGGTCGACATGAAGTTATTAAATCCTCCGCCCAATGGACGCCGTATCCAGCAGGGAGAGGATCACGACTGCTGCTTCTTCTAGATCAGGAAAATAATTCCAGGAAGAAACTCTTTGAGTTGCTGGTCTGAACGCCGGCGCCGATTTCCCTGCCGTTGACCGCCCGCTGCATGCTCATAAATTGGACAGGGAGAACACACGGATTTGGCGGGTAGAAGCTGCCCGCCGGTCAACGGGGATCGTTTCCGGCGAATTGACCGGAGGGGAACGCCGGCGGGAGGGCGGACCGCCGAGCTCATCCGATTAGTTCTTGCGGGAGATCTAGTCATCGGTTTTAGCCATAACAGCTCACCAGTTAGATCTAGTCTTCGGTTTTGCGTGGGATCTTGTCTCCGAGTCTGATCCTTGCGCCAGGAAGTCAACAGCTCACCATATTTTTCTGAGTGATAAAGTACCAGAATATTTTTAAAGATTTATTGCTTTTAGGATGCATCTCTTTCTTTATTAGCTTTCGGTCTTTGTAAGACTTCCAAGACGTTGACCTTTTGTCCTTTCTGTGAATACGTGGCAATAAAACGCTTCTTTCGATTTCGGGCCAGGCTGGATGCGGTCAGTCGGCCCGTTTCGAGGATGTTCGGTCGTCACTCGGGGTTTAAGAAGGTTTCGAGGGGTGGCCGGTAAACCTAGAGCGCATATAGAGAGAGAGAGAGAGAGAGAGTGGAGGACGAGGGAGAGGAAATGCTGAGATCTTCCGCTCCTCTGCGTCGATTCCTGAGTTGCCGGAGCTTCTCCTCGACGAGCTCGGAGAATATCGTGGCGGCGGTGCTGTTCGAGAGATTGCCGGTGGTCATCCCCAAGATCGATCCGGTCGTCTACGCTTTCCAGGAGTTCTCGTAGGTTACGCCCACAGCGGGATTTGTCTTCAGAACGACAATTTTTCGCAACCTGCAATTGAATATACATTGTTTGAAGGAGACTGAGGACATGAGACGTCGAAATCGTTGTTATTTTTTTTTTAGGTTCCGATGGAAACAGCAATACCGGCGAAAGTACCCGGAGGAAGTCTTGTCAAAATCCGACGCCAAGTGAGATTCGTGTTTTTATCTTGTGATCCGACTTCTTGGATTAGTTTGCGCGAGGATGATTGTTATGTCGCTCTCTGACGACGGAAAGGGCGGTAGTTTTTTAACCGCTGCGAGGGATCTTTTTGTGTGTAAACAGTATGCGCATTCTAAGCAATTTCTCGCTATCTTCAGGGGAAAAGGCGACTACAAAATCGATTACGAGCCAGCTCCTCGGGTGACAGAAGCTGATCGAACGAATGATAGGAGGTAGTCAAGATACATGTCTTTGATCTTTGCAAATGCCTCTCGAAGTTATTATTTTTTACGTAACGGCAGGTTATCTGAATTGAATCATAATTTCTTCTGCTCCTGGATGTTTAGGTTGGTGTTTCTATCTTCTGTAATGAAATCATAGTTCCACCAGCAAAATTCCTTGAAATTAAACGACTCAGACGTATGAACCTCTTGTTTTAGGAAATAAAAAAAATCCAAGATATGATTAAAGATTAAAGTGGATCTTGGCCAGGCATGTACTAGAAATGGATGTATAATGGAGATTTTTATGAGCTAATTTACATCGGTTTGCTACTGATTTCCAGAGGAGGATTTTTTAGATTATTTAAGTGAAATGAATAAAGTGGACCGTACCTATGAGGTGAAGGAAGTCTGCATATAGAAACAACAGGCGTCAGTCAAGTCATTTTGCATTCCTACTTGTTTTGCAATGCTTACCTTTTGAGTACTGAAAATAAAATCCTACGAATACTACGATTTAAGTGGTGTGAACGGGGCCCTAGATCTGATGTTAAATAACATTTGATTTTGTTAGATCCTAAAACGGAGCTTCTAGTATAGAATCAACTTGTCCCCTTGCTTGTCGGTTCCTTTAATTTCTTGTACTGTATATGTTGGCCAAATGGTGCATATACATGTCACATAGGTGTTCGACTTGATTTAACCATAGGTTTGGCTTTAATAGGTGTCCAATATCCGAGAATCTAATCCAAAAGAAATAATACTTTGGAATATTGATTCCTTGACCAATGTTCTCAACTTACCTATTTCAACCTCATGTAATCATATTTCAGACAATATTTGATTAGAGCATTGGTTACGGGTTAATTTTAATATCCTCCAGTTTATCATTGTTCAGGTCATCAAAATTGTTAAAGTATATACCAGTCCGCCCCGCCCTTTAAAATTCATTCTTCAGACTGTGTTAGATTTTATAAACTTTTACACTGTTTGAGAGATTAAGTTGACATATGTTGAATAAATTCAACAATCTCTATGCTACTTGCACGTTTGTAATTTTGTTTCAGAATTCAGTTGTTCTTTGTAAAAAAAAGGAAAAAATGGAGAATGAAACAGATGTGTGACAGCGACACTGGTGCAACTTAAATGGACGCTTTTGGATTATAAGCCATCAGTTCCTTGGTATTTTCTTTGAGGTACCACATGAAACTGCTTGTTCGTCCAAAAACATCTTTGCGAGTTCAGCACTTTGCTTGTGGTTTATAGCATCTTTTTCTTTAACAGGTGATGTGCAGTCAAAATATCACTCGAAACTGACAAATCTCAATCATGTATTTTGACACCAACTAGAAGTTCAAAGGTCTAAGGTCTCCCCTTGATTTTCATATGGCTGCACTCTAGTGCATCTTCAATTCCAGAAATCATCCTCAAATTCACAACTCGTATATGCATCTGCGAGTATATTCTTAATAAAAGCATATCCTTTATAATTACTATATTGAGCATTCAATGCAATAAATGGTTACGAATTAAAATATTGATAACTAGTGCATATATTTTTTATGTTTATCCGATGCTATTTTGATATATTTCTATGCTATCTTAATGGGTTTCCATTGAAGGTCATTAAAGAGAGCACTTGATAGAAGGCTGTATCTTCTCCTGTACGGAAACACGTTTGGATCTTCTTCTGACGAGCTTTCTTGGCATTTCCCTGAGAAACTCTATGAATCAGAAGAGTCAATGAGGAAGGTAATTACCACAATGCCCTTTTTGTGAAAGCTTTCGCTTTCATTCACAACACTCACAAATTGACTATTAATAGAAACTAACTACGCTTAAAGAAAAATATCCCTCGCCGTTCTTCATAAATTCACAATTTCGAAGTTTTCATGCTGTTCATTAATCTTTGCAGTTTTCAGTGTGCAGAGTCGGCATTGAAATCTGTCATCGGTGACCTTTCTCACACATACTTTGTTGGCAATGCTCCCATGGCCCACATATCTGTCGAGCCAGCACATGCTGCCCCTGAATGTCCATCCCTCAAGGTACCCTCCACTGCTTCCTTTTCTTATCTCTGGTTTGTTCCTTTTTTCTCTAGTGCTATGCTTACAACCTATTTTTGGTAAAAAAAAATATAAATCGGTTGTTAATGATTTAATTTTTCCAAACGAATTTAATCGTCGATATTTAGAATTCAATCAGAACACATCGGAAAAACCTTCTTGGAATGAGATGTAAAGAAAGAAGTGATACAGACTGCTCCCTGCTCTCCAATTATCATATTGCTGTTGAATCTGTTCTAAGATATTCATTTTTTATTGCACATTTTATGGTTAAAAGTGATTTCAGAATTTATATAAATACCGAGAAAAATAAAAAGATACGAGTTTTAGGGCTGAAATAATTAGAAAAAATATTTATTTAGTATAACCATTTTGAATCTTCTGTGTCCGATTACTTTTTCTTTTTTCGATATATATTTTGCTAATCTAAAAAAAAAATGCAGAGATTCTTCTTCAAATCACAAGTGGTTGGTGCCGACAAGTACAGCGTTGGAAAGTGCAGGGACTTTGCGTGGCTCACCAAGGACGAACTGATTGAGCACTTTCCCCATCAAGCAGCATTCCTCAATCAGATGATCATCAGCTGATCAGACGGTGATATCCTCAGAAAATATTTATGGCTTATATTTACCCGTTTTATTTATCAGTCATCTTCTTCCTTGGGATTTCTTGAGAGATCGTCTGATGGCTTTGCGGGGTTTCTGGGTTGGATCAGGGCTGAGGTGAGCAGCGGGCCCATTCTGGTTCGTGGTGTGGGCTGGCCCTGTTGAGAGAGAGTCTGGTCCATTCTTCTCTTCTATATAAGATGGTGGCGGGTTTCAGTGGTATCCCAGCCCCTGCGGCTCATCGGAAAAAGGTGAACCCTCTGCTCTCCTTTTTTCTTTTTACTGATTTTGGGGATAAATTAAGTGCGTCGGATATGAACGGGTCAGAGATTGGAGTATGCCAATGAATGAATAGTACTCTCCCTCTCTCTCTCTCTCTCTCTCGCTCCCCTCTTCTCTCTCTTTCTCTCTCTCTCGCTCCCCTCTTCTCTCTCTTTATCTCTCTCTCTCGCTCCGCTCTTCTCTCTCTTTATCTCTCTCTCTCGCTCCCCTCTTCTCTCTCTTTCTCTCTCTCTCGCTCCCCTCTTCTCTCTCTTTCTCTCTCTTTCTCTCTCTCTCGCTCCCCTCTTCTCTCTCTTTCTCTCTCTCTCTCCCTCCCCTCTTCTCTCTCTTTCTCTCTCTCTCCCTCCCCTCTTCTCTCTCTTTCTATCTCTCTCTCCCTCCCCGCTTCTCTCTCTTTCTCTCTCTCTCGCTCCCCTCTTCTCTCTCTTTCTCTCTCTCTCTCCCTCCCTCTTCTCTCTCTTTCTCTCTCTCTCGCTCCCGTCTTCTCTCTCTCTCTCTCTCTCGCTCCCCTCTTCTCTCTCTCTCTCTCTCGCTCCCCTCTTCTCTCTCTCTCTCTCTCTCTCTCCCCCTTCCCTCTTCTCTCTCTTTCTCTCTCTCTCGCTCTTTCTCGCTCGCTCACTCGACCGACCTCTCAGCCCACAGCTCTTCTTGTCTCCCTCCTCTCTCTCTCTCTCTCTCTCTCTCTCTCTCTCTTGCTACATCGATCTCAGATTGATAGAGAGTATGATAATTTTTCATACTGTGTTACGATTTCTCTTCAATTTTGTGGCCACATATCTTTTTCTTCTCTCTCTACCCTCTCTCTCTCTCTCTCTCTCCGCTCTTGCCAGATCTATGTCAGATCGATAGACAGAGAGTGCTTGATAATTTGAAACTCTTACGAATTCTCTTCAATTTCGTGGCCACAAGTCAGCTTTTTGTTGTCTCTCTACCCGCTACTCTCTCTCTCTCCACTCTTCTGTTGCTAACTTTATCTCAGATCAATAGAGAGTGTGTCAATTTTTCATACTTGAACACGAATTCTCTTCAATTTCGTGACCGCAAGTCAGCTTTTCCTTGTCTCTCTACCCGCTACTCTCTCTCTCTCTTTCTCTCTCCCCCCCCCTCTTTTCTTGCCAGTCTCAGACCGATAGAGTTTGTGGCAGATTTTCAGACTCCAACAAGAGTTCTCGTCAAATTCGTGGCCACAGGTCAGCTTTTTCTTGTCTCTCAACCCGCTTCTCTCTCTCTATCTCCCCTCTTCTCTTGCTAATCTCAGATCGGCAGAGAGTGTCTGATATTTTTCAACTTTGAATACGAATTCTCTTCAATTTCCTGACCGCAAGTCAGCTTTTTCTTGTCTCTCTACCCGTTCTTCTCTCTCTTTTCCCCCCTCTTTTCTTGCCAATCTCGGACCGATAGAGAGAGAGTATGGTCATTTTTCAAACATTGACATGAATTCTCTTCATATTCGTGGCCACTAGTCAGTTTTTTCCTCTCTCTCTCTCTTTCTCTTTCTCTTTCTCTCTCTCTCTCTCTCTCTCTCTCTCTCTCTCTCTCTCTCTCTCTCTCTCTCTCTCTCTCTCTCTCTCTCTCTCTCTCTCTCTCTCTCTCTCTTACAGACATACACATAAACACAACCTCTCACACCACTCTTTTTCAATCCCTCTCTTCACAGGCTTGATAATGAGTCTATCGAAAGTCCTTTTTTTGGACTTCGCCCTAGGGTCAAACTAGGGTTTTCTCCATGTCTTAGCCTAATGTGGCATCAACTTCTACATTGATTTTTTTCTTTTTTCAAATTTTAAAAAAGAAATGAGGGTCTTTTTCTTCCGAGTATAATTCCTAGAATCTAATGGAACAAGTCAAGATAATTTTGTAACCGTCCTCTTTATTGGTCATTTCCCCAAAGTGTCTTTAATGATGATTATTTAATTAATATGAAATTTTATTTGGGCCTTTGAAAATATGATCCAAACAAAACGAAATATATTTAATTTTATTGGGAGATGATGATAAAGGTTGTTGTGGCTTTATTTAATTAGTTGAAATTTCATCCCATACAAAAAAGGAGAAAATATAAATTATATTTTACATTTTAATCTACTTAAATATTGACAAATTAGATTAAGATAACATGTTAGAATAATGTGCGTTAAATCACACTATCAATTAACATTTTTAGAGATTAAAAAAATTAAATAACATGTTCATTAGTTAGTCCACAAATGATGTCATTATAATTACTTTCATGCCCTAGTTGTTCTATCTTATATCCATTTAATGGTATTTAATTTGCAAGTAAAACTCTCATATTGAAGACTCACTTGAATTCTTCAGAGGAATAATATAAAAAGCAAAAAATATAAACTTTTTCCTAAGTTCAATTAAATAAAGACATGGATGTAAAGGAATAAACCCATGAGATGTCATTATACCAACCACTTGAGAGTTTAGCGGGTCTTGGTTAAGGTATTTAAGATTCTAAAATGGGCCCATGGTGAAATCATAGATTATGATAGTTTCAATGGATATTATGGATATAAAACTCTCTCATTAGGGACAGATTTCAAAATTTTGTATAGAAAAGGAATCAATCAATAATATATACAGAAAAAAATAAAATACATGCCATTCTAATTTTCATTCGATTGAAGAAGTGGAGTCTCAAGTGATTCCAATAACTGATAAGACTTATAGTTGGGTAGGCTAAGACTTTGATTCCAGTATTCCTATTAGAATAATGTGCCTGAAACACGATATGATTGTCAACCAATATTTTTAGGGATTAAATAAGTAAAATACTCTGCCCAATGTCTAGTTCATTTCATGACGTCATTACAATGACTTTGGCTACCGTAATTATTCCATCCATATCCTCATATGGAATTGAAAATTGCCAAGTGGGGCCCACATTGATATCATAGATTACGATGGTCCTTGTAGAGGAGAGGACGTTATTCAATTCCATCGGGGAATATGTGGGCATTGAAGCTCTGATGAGTCTGAAGGGGATCTAGAGCGAGAGAGAGAGAGAGAGAGAGAGAGAGAGAGAGAGAGAGAGAGAGATTGGATCTATAGTTGGGTTCAAAGGGATAGCAGTCACCCAACTAACCGTCGCCAAAACCAAAGCAGGGGATGCGGTTGTCCTCGTCAAAGGAGGAAAGGGTCCTCCTGACGATGGATATCGCCTGCTCATACGGGTTTGGCGGATGGTTGAGGTCGTGCAAGCAGCGGCGGCCAAAGGAAAACTTGCCTGCAGATAGTCAGAAACCTGCTGCAATTAGTAAGTAAGCAATCCCCAGAGCCATGAAAGGAGGAGGAGTAGCTTATGCTGTCCGATACTTCAAAGCCAAAATTCGATGAATAAACTCGATGAAAGCGTTGTAGATTTCTATTGCCAGCAAGTGAAGGGACTAAAATCATCAACCATTCTGCGTTCAAAACCACAAAAAACCAGAAAGCACGAGGTACTTACGAGCCCTTTTGGCACCAAATCATGGATTCCACCCCCCGTTATTTCTTCATATTTGTGATGGTATGAAGATTCTTAGGTAGGAATTTTATGATGGTCATATGGGCTGGCTGAGTTACCCAAATTGGCAACCAAGCAGGCATCCTGGAGAGAGAGAGATAGAGAGAGAGAGGGATGTGTCCAGGAGAACCTGTCCACTCATTGCTCTTCGTGAAGTCGACTCCCAGAATCATGTTCGAAGATTCGAGCCCGGCTTGTGCGAGAGCGTCGCTCACCTGAGACACGGAGAATCGGATAGTAACTCAGCAACCAGATCGAATTCCTCGAAATCAGAAAGAAAAAATCATAGTAACCCAATCATAGTTACCAGGTCAAGGTCAATGCGGGCAACGCGGTCGGGAGGATGCTACTCTCGGGGGCAACGCTGCGCGTTGACTTGGCACGAAGAGGAGATGCAATCCCTTATCCTCTTCACATTACAGCAAACAGTTTGCCGTCGTCATCTAGACTGGCCCGCCGACAACGAGAAGCAAGGGCTCGTTGTCGGCGGCAGCGGGCCCCCCACTCAGGCATGAAGTCGTCGCGTCGAGCCGTCTAGGCGTAGGAGATCGGAAGCTAGGTCGCCGGGGAGAAGAGGAGAAGGCGACCGGTGGTGGACGCCTCCTCCGGCCAGAAAGTCTCCCGTCGCAACTGGTCCATGAATACGAGTACAGGGCAGGTGGTGCCTACGGATACCGGGCGTTTCGCCTTACGTTCCGCGGTCATTTTCGCTGTCCTCCGTCTTCTGCCGGAGCAGATTTTCATGTTTCCACGATGACCATGTCTCCGTCCTCTTCATCCCAACCGAGAGGCTGTGTCACGTCGGTGAAAGGGGCCATGCGTTTCTCGATCATTGAAGCACCTGGTTAGCTTCTGGGTTCTGCTAGTTCCGTCCTTTCTTATTCCTCCTCCGGCGTTGACATTTGTTAGTCTCTTCGTCACTCAACCACCCGTTTACTTTTTTCCGTGATTATATTACTGGCCACCATTAAGTTTTCCCCATAAGTTCTCCCAGGTTCCAACCGCCTCCCCCACTGTCTCCAGCCCGTTGATTTCCCGGCACTTTCTTCTGCCTCCACGCTTGAAGAGCTTACCGCGTCCATGCTTCGTCCTCATTTATATCCAGCTGAGGACCTCTGAAGGTTGGGGCGGAGGAGGAGGAGCAGGAGGAGAGTCGACCTTATTCTCGCTCTGGGGTTGACGAGGAACAGGGAAAGCTCCGCCTTGGACGAACTCGCTCTGCAGCCTCAGCTATTCTCAGGTGAGCGTCGGAACCAGTTACCGCGACCCGACAAGGGCTCCTATTACGATGTGATGGGTTCCTCATCTGTTTCCTCCGAGACGGGGGAGAAAAGAAAAGCTGGGCTTCTCACTTTTCCTCACACGAGAAACAACATAAGAAGGCTCTCGCTCTCCTTCTCCAAATCGTTCTCTCGCCACCCGCCCGCCAGCAGCTGCTCCGGAGAAGGGAGAAAGAAAACTTATGGAGGAGCAATCCCTTTCAGAGGGGAGCGAAGAGTCTCTTCATGCCTCTGGTTTACGTGATCCGCTGATGGGTGATGATGGGTCTGTGTTGCTTCTGGCAGGGATCTTGGACATAAATCTGAGGTGAACCGATGGGCTGCAAGTCCTCCAAGGGAGCATCAGCATCGCGCCACCACCGTTATTCTCAGCAGAGCGATAGGCATTCTCTCAATTCAGCGTCTAGCAGAAGCTTGGATCCTGCTCATGTAGGGGTATATCCCATGGATTACCTGAGGATCTCTCAACGGTTCCAGTCACATGAGCAGGTACCCTTTTTGCCGTCATAATCTTCTCCCCCCCCCCCGTGCAGCTAGTCCGCAGAACCAGGGGGGGCAGAGAAGTTTCAGAAGGACGTCGTCTCCTATCTCCTTATTGCCTAGAGAAAACCAATTGGGTTACTATGATTTTTTCTTTCTGATTTCGAGGAATTCGATCTGGTTGCTGAGTTACTATCCGATCCTCTGTGTCTCAGGTGAGCGACGCTCTCGCACAAGCCGGGCTCGAATCTTCGAACATGATTCTGGGAGTCGACTTCACGAAGAGCAATGAGTGGACAGGTTCTCCTGGACACACCTCTCTCTCTCTATCTCTCTCTCTCCAGGATGGCTGCTTGGTTGCCAATTTGGGTAACTCAGCCAGCCCATATGATCATCATAAAAATTCCTCCCTAAGAATCTTCATATCATCACAAATATGAAGAAATAACGGGGGGTGGAATCCATGATTTGGTGCCAAAAGGGCTCGTAAGTACCTCGTTCTTTCTGGTTTTTTGTGGTTTTGAACGCAGAATGGTTGATGATTTTAGTCCCTTCACTTGCTGGCAATAGAAATCTACAACGCTTTCATCGAGTTTATTCATCGAATTTTGGCTTTGAAGTATCGGACAGCATAAGCTACTCCGCCTCCTTTCATGGCTCTGGGGATTGCTTACTTACTAATTGCAGCAGGTTTCTGACTATCTGCAGGCAAGTTTTCCTTTGGCCGCCGCTGCTTGCACGACCTCAACCATCCGCCAAACCCGTATGAGCAGGCGATATCCATCGTCAGGAGGACCCTTTCCTCCTTTGACGAGGACAACCGCATCCCCTGCTTTGGTTTTGGCGACGGTTAGTTGGGTGACTGCTATCCCTTTGAACCCAACTATAGATCCAATCTCTCTCTCTCTCTCTCTCTCTCTCTCTCTCTCTCTCTCTCTCTCTCTCTCGCTCTAGATTCCCTTCAGACTCATCAGAGCTTGCGTTCTTTGTGTATTCAGTGTCGACCCATGATCAGAGCGTCTTCAGCTTCACCTCAGATGGCAAGCCATGCAACGGGTTTGATGATGTGCTGCAATGCTACAGAGAAATTGCTTCCAATGCTCAATTAGCAGGTACCCGCGTGCCCCTTGCAGTGTATCTTTCCTGTGGTTTTGCCGCTGAACTTAATGGAGTTCGGCTCTGAGAACAGGCCCGACATCCTTTGCTCCAATCATCGAGGCCGCCATGGGCGTTGTGGACGAGAGCGGAGGCCAGTACCATGTTCTTCTGGTTATCGCTGATGGGCAGGTCAGATGCTCTGCCTCCTTGGTCTCCTTGGTTTTTCTCTCCCATGTAGCTGATTACAGAAGCAAACTCGGATGCTCTGTTCTGTGCTGATGGATTTTGATTTGGATGGGCCGATGGCTCTCGCAAAGTGGACTTTTTGGAGATCATCGTTTTGACCTTGGTGGCTCAATGCAGGTGACCCAGAGCGTCAACCCTGTACATGGCCATCTCAGTGTACAGGAGATAGCGACCATCAATGCCATTGTGAAAGCTAGGCAAGGAGCAGCGCCTTCTCTAAACCCTCTCTCTCTCTCTCTCTCTCTCTCTCTCTCTCTCTCGCGTACTGATTAAACGTCTGTCTTTGTTGCAGCGACTACCCTTTGTCGATAGTGGTGGTGGGCGTCGGGGACGGGCCTTGGGACACGATGAGGGACTTCAGCGACCGCATACCGGCCCGGAGATTCGACAATTTTCAGGTCAGATACTCCGCGGTGTTCTAATTCACGCTGAAAGCGTCTGTTGTCTTATCAGAGGTGCGTTCTTTGATGAACAGTTTGTCAATTTCACGGAGATCATGGCCCGGGACTTGCCGCAGAAAAGGAAGGAGGCGGAATTCGTGCTGGCGGCTCTCAGGAAGGTCCCCTCCCAGTACCGGGCGACTGTAGATCTTCAGCTTCTGGGGTAATGAAGGCTTCAGAGGCCCGAATATCTGCTCTTTCCTGAATTAGCACTTGAGGGAACATGGAGCTGATTCTGCTCAGGACTTCTCCTGGATCTAATGCAGTTGCAGAAAAGGGTTTTCGAAGAGAAAATGCCTTCCCCCGCCGATATTGTGCCACAGTCCAGCAGGCAGCCAAAGGGAAGGAGGCGGGAGCATTATTGAGTACAAGGTCAAACGGTCGCCGGAGAGCTCACCACAGATCAACGGGCAGGTGTGGATGGTCTCTCAACTCCCCTGTTTTCATCTTCTGGGTCTTATAGTGGAGCTGAGATTATTGGATACCCAGAGAAGATTTTACCCACATCTCCATCCGAGTGTGTAGAACTGCCTGATCACAGTCCACCTATTTGCATTCCAATTCTCAGTTTAGGTGTCGGAGGCTGATCCCCTCCTCATCTTTTATGTGGTAGAATTAGAAATAAATTCTTTGATCTAAATGCTTAATCCGAAACCCTAAAATCTCTTGTTTCCAAAACCCTGAACGTTGAACCTCGAGTCTTAAACCCTAGACCTAAAAACCCATGCCCTAAATCCTAAATCCTAAACCCCAAAGCCCAATCCAACTCACTTTGGGCTATAGCATGTTTGTTCCAGATAGAACCAATTAAAACCCACAGGCCATTGGCTGAGACCCGTAGGTTTTACATACCTAAATGGACATGAAATTGAGAGATCTTTGGCCTCTTCTAGTCGTTTAAGGCCTGCAGAGTGCAGTTTTATTGGAATTTCTGTGTTGGATCCCATTACTGACGTCCGAGAATCTCCTTCTTGTGACCTGACAGAGGTGCCCTGTTTGCCTCTGCAATGTCAAGGATCTCGCCTTTGGATGCGGTCACCAGGTCAAACCCTCTCTGACTTCCCCGTTGGTGGGTTTCTTTATAGCGTGAGGTGGCTTGCTGACTCTTTGTGTTTGCATTGCAGACTTGTTACGATTGCGGGGGAGTCTTGCAGTTTTGCCCGATTTGCAGGAGTTCCATAACCATAAAGATTAGGCTTTACTGATGCCCTTGGAGGGGGTTTCATCTTGTCGATGGCTAGCCGGTGATGATTGTCGACGACACTGTGGAGAGCTCCTCTCTTGTATATACATGTTGATAATTTCTTCAGTCTCTTCTCCCCAAATCAGCTCTCTCTGTCTCTGTCTCTGTCTCTGTCTCTGTCTCTGTATCTGTCTCTTTCTCTCACTAAGAAGGAAATGAATCAGGAGTGGTCCTCCCACTCCAGTTGATCCCACCTCTTGACTAGGCCGTACCACTTTGATGTTCTTCGCGCTATAGAACCCAGAATGGAGGTCCTTCAAGATCGGATTCGGACAATGACAGACAGACTGATTTCTAATGATAGAGAAGGAGAGAGAGATGCCGGGTAGGCTTTATTGATCATTTATCCTAAATTTATCGAAAAGCGGATCATTCTCATGGTCGACGTCTTTCTGGTATTCGATTCAAACAAGTACCAGACGGAAGGGTGGGGTTAACGGGAGAATCTCCGTCCAAGAGGGATGTACCTCTCGACCGTGGGGGTCAACCCTTCTCCAGAATTGACGGAGCTTCATCTTTCAGTCTGTGACATTGAGTTTCAACGGAGTTAGAGCCCATCCCGTACCTCCGAACTCAGTCGGTGAGCTCCTCGGTGCCTCAAGTTGGTTTTCCCATCCACCTGAGGCTGCTGCGGCTTCCGCCATTGCCCGGCAGATGACAGTGAGAGCGAGGGGCAGGTCGCCAACTCCAGCAGCATATCACGAAACAAAGAAAGGGTTGTTCCTGTTCTTGTTTCTTTTCCTGTTCCTGGGTTTGAATGATCCAGGGATCCGCAGCTACTTTCCTTCTTCTGATTATTTATTGCCCACGAATGATTTTATCTCCGAGAAGAAGAGGGGAGGGGGTGAGGGGTGGGGGGGTTACAGCTTCTGCGGGCGTTCTCATGGATAGAGCCTATCGGCCCCCTCTCCTGACGGCGTGGTGAAGGCGATCTTACATGTCTCGCATGGTCCTCGGGGGGTGACGGCGTATCTGCGACGACACGGGCTCTTACCGCCGCCGCAGAGAGTGAGAAGCTCGGCGGTGGCGTCACCAGGTTAGGAGTTGCTCTGTTGACACGCACGGCGAGGTTGATCCGTCGGAGGAGCACCCTTTCTGCTGAAGTGATACCCGGAAGGCGGCAGCGTTGACTTTGGGCTCCTGGACGTGCCTCGGCCGACGGAGTACCCGGTTGGTTAGCCTCTGCCCCTCGTCGATCTTTCCCTTCCTCGGCGGCAAAAGGACATCCGATTCCGCGGCGGCCAATTCGACCGGAAGTCAACGGAGGCAAGAAATTTATTTTCAATAAGAAAGGAAAATTATACGTAAATAAGGCCGGATATATATTTTTTTTCAATCGTGGGGTTCTGTTCTCCAGGATTATACGTAATCCTCAAGGCCAGGTTCTGTTCTGTTCCATATTTATTTTCAATATGGCAGGAAAATTATACGTAAATATGTTCTCCAGGGCTCAGTTCTGTCGATGCAAAGATCCTCAAGGTTGCTCCTCTAATAGACCTTCCTTGCTCTCCTTATCAACGATAAGGAACGCCCACGAACGACATAGATGAAATCATTCTAGTTCAAGCTCGTTATGATTCTGTTGAATTGGGCTGCAGCCAAGTATCGCCGCGGTGTGAGCATTCTTGCTGCCTTCACTGAAGATTTGGTGTGACCGGGATTCCTTTTGATAATCGTGGGGTTCTGTTCCAACCGATATGGGGGTGGTGTCTGTGGCTCACCTTCACGTGCAAACGGATGTGCAAACGTGATAAAGGGCCCATTTCAGCAAGCCACTTCCCACGGAAATGGGCCACCATTTGCCCTTATTAGGCTTGGGTATTTTTCCCCACTCTTGGGGGGTCCGAGAGAGTCTCTTGGACCATTACAAATAGAGGCCTCTGTCGTTCGTAAAATCATAAGAGTGGAATAGGGAAGAGACTAAAGAGTGATCGTGGTGGGTGGTGGTGTTTGGCATAATGGAAGAAGACGCCGCTGCCTTTCTTGCTGGCTGAGGAGCTGAGAGCCGCTGCATCTCCCTTATGTTAGAGGTGAGCGCCGCCACCTGTTCTACCATACTGAAGAGGAGAGATCCTTCCCGTCTGTTTCTTGGGAAGGAGGTAATAATCTCATATAAACTTCTCGACATCTAGTAAAGATCCGATCATTGTTGTTGGCTGTAGACCCGGGAGGGTAACCTCTGAGCCCCATAAGTGTTTTGGTGTGATTTGATACTTCTTCCTTCTCCTTATTTCATTTCGTGCAGATCAATTGGATACCGATATTTTAGTTAGAGTTGTCATTTTGTTTCAACAATCTAGTATCAGAGCCCAATTGGGGATTCAATCCGTGTTCACTATTCATTGGAACAGTGAATATTGACAGTGAAGAATGACACTGAAGTCTTTGGTGAAAAGACTAAAATTTAAACATTTGGACGCTATAGATGTAGTCATTGTTAATTTAATAAGGGTTGAACAATGAAATTAAAGTGCGCTCTTGATGTGATTTATTTGAGCTTGATAGATGTGATACGACAGGTTGCTAATGAAGAAATCTATCTGCATGAAACTCTGGTTCAAACTTGAGTCAAGGTTAATGAGAAAGTATTTCATAAACTATTTCTAGGTAAAGCAACAAATATTCACTTTTCTCATAAAGAAGATGAAGATATACCCATGAATGTTCATTTGAACGAGTTTATTAATATTGCCATAGATCTTAAACTCTTAGTGCTTAAGTAGATGAGGATTAAACCCTAATTTTACTATGTTCATTACCTACTTCATATGAGTATTTCCTTAATACTTTGTTACATTAGAGAGAGGATTTCTTTGTGGAAGATGTCAAAGTCTTTTTAATTCTAAAGACTTGAAACAGAATGCTAGAATCTCATGGTTAAGATTGAGTAGGCTTCCTAGCGAGAGGGAGAACTTTGAAAAAGGAAAGTATTATGAATCAATCGAATAGGGAATACCAATAAAAATCATCTAATATTAAAGAGGAAACTAAAGATTCAAGAGGAGCCTTCTTTTAAAAAAGTACATGTTGTAGATGATTGGACTATTTGATTCTAGTTGTATACTTCACATCTACCTTCATTGCAAATGATTTTTTATTTATTGTTAAATTTTTGGCTGCAGTGAGATAAAAAAAGAGGGGTTTAATTGTTCAAATTCTAATTTTGACTTTGATCAACTAATTCTAAATTCTTTGATCTGTTTAATTTAATTTTAAATACAAGGATATATCTAGATCTTAATTTAGAACAGCTAAGAATTTTCATAGTGGTTTGACTAACTCCCTATGTCTGTTCTTCAACAACATTCTGTTATTGTGTTCCACTAAACTAATAATTTGACAATTATAATCGCTCAGTTCTTAGTTCAGCTACCACAAAATTTTACTTTGAAATTATCTGAATGATCCATGGCTCTAGGAGGCCTATAGTTGACTGTGGGGAACAACTCCCTCAAGCAATTAAATTAAGATTTAATTACAAGTCATTCCTAAAAACTTAAAACATAACTTCATTGAGATAATATTAGCTCAATGTAGGTTTAGAACTTCAATGAAGAGGATTTTAAACTAGGTTTGGATCTTGTTCTTCTCTTCTAGTGAGAAAGCTAGTTGAACATTAAAAATATTGGCACTATAATAATGTCGATGTTGATATTGTTTCAATTAATTCTTGCTTCTCAACTCATTCTCTACTAATCATTTCATCAAACTTTTAAGACTGCTCAAATTCACACATATTTCTCTATATAAAATATCAACAATAATCTCAAGATGGTAGAAAGCTTAGAGGTGGTCATGGAAAATTAATTAGTAGTTGGAGAGGCACTGAATTTATAAACAATTTATATTCAAAAACTTATGTTGTTTTTCATCATTTCTCAATGTTAAAAAAATCTAAAGATTAGTTAGAAGTTTGAACAGTCAGAAATTAATATAAAATGACCTTTATGGTTTGCACATCTTCTAAGAGAAATCAATGTGTATGACCTTTCATTACAACATATGTATACAAAATTTATCCATTCAAAAACGTTAAGTAAGAATTCATTATCATCGAAACATAAGCAATAATACACCTCAAAATAAACTAATGGCTCAACATTCAAAACTAATCCAATTCACCTTAAAACAATCATGAGTTTCAAATAGGCGTATAAAATCATAATCTCAATATGCATAATCATCACTTCAATGACATATGCTATGTCAAAATAATATTCTTGAAATTTGATGATTGTTTGAATAGAACTCAAGCAACTACTTTGGTATCTAGAAACTAATAAGAAATTATTTAATGGAAATTTAGAAAACTAGTAAGCTTTCATATGTGTATTTTACTTCAACGGTTCTCATTGATTCTGATGAGTTAATCATTACTTTTTATTTGTGATAATTTCTCTAAATACTAGTACTTTTCAAAATAATAACCAAATAAATATTTTGAACTAGTGAAATCAGTCAAACTCTAGAGTTGAAAATCATGACACTCAAGTGTATTCTTGGAAATCTTAATTGAGTATTTAACATTATTATTTTCAATTATTTCTGAATTTTTAATAAATTATTTAATTGTAATATTTTATAGAATATTTATTCATATTTCATGTATAATTAGTAGTAAACATAATTTGATAAATTTATTGATCTCATGTTTTGTAGTTAAAATATTTAAATAACTTTCCAACACTTATAGATTACTATAATATTATGAGACAATAGAAGCCTTATAGATGTAAAATTGATACAACTAGAATATAGATATTTGATGATGTCATCATAAATCTAGAAATAAGAGAATTTATAACTGAAGAATAGTTTGATCCTTTAAAATACTTTCAATGTACATAAAGATTAATTTTTAATAAATAAGATAATCCTGAAAATTTCTAGAAGAGTACACACCAATGAGGATCTTTATATTGGAGCTCTTTTTCTATTATTTCTTTTTGCTATATCTTTAAT